CCCAAATTTGACTTCCTTCTCTTTCATTAATTCTTTTTCTTTTCTTTTCTTCCTTTTTCTTTCAAAAATTAAAACTTAAAAATCCTAAATTAAATTATAAAAGACCTAAATTAGCTTAAAAATATTAATTAACTTTAAATAATACCTATCACAAATAATTAAACACTATATTAAAAGAAAATCACACAATTTGACCAAAATACAAAAGTATGTTAATTTTTTGTGAATTTTCATTTTTGTAAAACAGCTAATTATTAATTAATTCCAAAAATATAAAAATCAAATCTTAAATGCAAATGCTATATTTTTTGTATTTTTAATGCATTAATAAAATTAAACATGCACACAAACATATGCAAACAATCAGGAAAATCACATAATAATTCCTAAAAATAACACATAATTAAAGAAAAGACCTAATTTTGGGAATTCTTTTGAAGTAATTCGTATGAGGCAAAAATCACGTGCTCACACTCACTACTTCTTTTTTACTTCGTTGTTTCTCTTTTTCCTTTGACACACTTATAATCTTTTTACACATGAAAATAATTGATAATCGACTAAAATTTATAATAATTAATTATTGAAATATATTAAGTTAGTGTAAAAAATATTTACACTATCGCTAGCCAAACTTAATTGTAATGGTTAAGACACATAATAATTCAAACTCGTAATACTTTGATATAAAATGTGACATTTTAATTGTCATGTTATTTCCTACACGAAAGAGAGCTTTGGCGTAACTGGTAAAGTTGTTGTCATGTGATTATGGGGTCATGAATTCGAGCATCTTGCAGAGATGTAGGGTAAGACTGCGTACAATACACTATTGTGGTCCGACCTTTCCCAGAACCCTCGTATAGCGGGAGCTTAGTGCACAATGTTCCCTACATAGAATGGACAATGTTAGAAACTACAAGGGAGAAAAATATAGTTACCGAAGTTTCATGGGAGGTAAACGAAATTATCCAAAAACCCAAAATAGATAAAATAAAAAGGCGAAAGAGTTTTTCTTTTTTTTTTAAATAAAAAAAAATCCTAATCATGGCAGTTGCAGCCGCCGTACACGGCGGTTATCTTCCCTCCAAATTCCGCAGTATCTCTGGAAAAACAGTCTCACAAAGCAAACCAACGCCGCCGCCACTATTCATTTCCACAAACCCTAACGATGTAATCCCTAATCACCTTAAAAACCTCTATTCTTTATGTAACCATTCATGTCACCGTTTTCCAAAACTGAACTCAGAAGGTAGAGTCGAGCCAGTGGATCTAAACAAGCTTCGAAAAGCGTTACATCATAGTTATATCGTCGTTTCGGTCTTTACCCGACCCGTCTTTGTACCCGGTTTGGTACCCGAATTGGCTCCGAGTTTAACGGGTATTGGTGGAGATTGGATTGGAAAAGTGGTGCCTGTGACACCGAGTAATGGAGAATTGGTTGGTTTTGGACGTGCTGTTTCTGATTCTGGATTGACAGCTGCTATCTATGATGTTATGGTCAGATTAATAGTTGAGATGCAATTGTGTTTTATATTTTTTGTGAATTGGTTGAATATTTTGCTTGCAGTTTAATAAAAAGAAGATCTTTATCTGGAATATACATGTTTAATTAAGCAACATTTATCTAGTACTGAAAACAAAATCTCCCCTGGTAGAAGGAGGAATGGTTGCAGTAATTTGATGGATAGAATAGGTGTATCTTAACTAGTTTGGGATTGAGATGCATCTCCATTAAAATTTGTTGATATGTATCCTTGTGAATATGAAAAAGGCTACATTTATTTTGGTTTATTCTCTATTATCGTTATATCTCTATTAATGTCGAGGCTCGAAAAAGAAAAATAGGTAAAATATAGCGGGAGTGACATACGTGCAGGATGCAACCCGCCCTTTTACCTTTCACTTGAACATATCTCCTTCCCAAAATGTATCAGTGTTTACCCTCTCACAAAGAAGCAGAAATATGACAACAATAAACAGTCTACCATTTAATGTTAAAAGGTTTGTGTTCTTTTTATTTTTATTTTACCAATTGTTTAATTGGATAAACATATGCCTTTAGACAACATATTGAATCTGTTAATTTGCCCTTTTTTTTTATTTCTAATCGTTGGGTGAATATATTCATTTATTTAGCAAGTAATTCTTTCTTGTGTTCGAGTTTGGTTTTATTTTTCAATATGTAACTTTATAACTTTATATATGTTTATTGGTTATTATTTTGGTACATACAAATTGTTTATATGTTTTTTGCTTTTAAAAGTTTAATGAGTAACTTTGAGAAAAACGAATCTGATATTGCACTAGAAGAAGTTCTACAAAATAAGTCTTAAAGGTAAGTTGATTATGAGCTTAAACTTGGGCTTGAATTTAATAGTGATGATGATACAATTAACTTTTATCACAAGTATGCAAGAAGGGTTGGATATACTACATGAAAAGTACGTGAACACGAACAAGAAACTACGTTAGGTAACGTCAAGAAAGATTACGTGTTTCAAGGAGACGGTAACATGTGAACCATTATGTTGGAACAATAAAGTAATTATGTTCTCATTCTCAAAATAAAAAAAATATGTCCTACATAAACCTTAGTAATTTGAGACTTTCCGAACTGTAAACACATAACAAATTGTGAGCTTGGCATTCAATTCTAGCTTCTTTTCGTGGGTTTATAGCTTGTTTTTTTCATTTATCATTTCCACAAAAACCTTCTCTGAAACATGTAATCTTTCTTGGCTTTACATAACGTAATTTCTTATTTGTGTTCACATACTCTTTACACGTACTATAACCAGCCCTTGCATATTCGTTATAAGATTAATTGCATTCTCATTGCTGTCAGACTCTAGGCCAAGTTTAGACTCAAGATCACATACTCTCCAGATTTATTTTGTAAAACTTCTTCAGGTGCAGTATCATACATGCTTTTCTCTCCAAGAGAAAAAGAAAAGGCAGATTAATACTCTGTACTTTGCAGTACCAATATATCTAACTAATAAGCATATACAAAGACGCATATTGAATTGTAAAACCAAACTCAAGCTCAAGAAATTTACTAAATCCCAGCGACAGAAGAAAAGGAAATTAATAGATTCAATGTATTTTCTGAAGACATAGTCATATTTAATTCAGTTAAAAATTGATAAAAGTTATGTAATAGTTAAACAAAGAAGACAATCCTTTCAACCGTCAATGGTTTGACTTTTTGTTGTGCTGGTTTCTGCTTTCTTGGAAAAGGGTAACTAATGATTTCTTCTGAGAGGGGATATATTCAAAAGAAAGGTAAAAGGCGGGTTGCATCTCACATGTATGTCATGCTCCCACCAGATATTTACCTTTTTTGCCAGCCTTAACATTAATAGAGATTTAACCATAATAGAGATAAACCTTTAAAATTTCAAGGACACCTGTCATCTATCTAAAGTTGCATTGACAACTATTGGAGCAAATTTTAATATAGCGGACTGGCTCCCCATTTGAAGGGTACTTAGGGAATGCCTCAAGGTTCATGAAAAAAACAGTAACAACTAAAACATTATCCTTTAGGGGGGGAATCCTTTTCATGTAGAAATTTATCTAACCAAAGTTTAGCGTTTACTTCTCCTTTTATTCCCTTTATATATAATCCAATACCGTGGAGTATTTCTAATCCATCGGGTATTCATGTGATTCTGCTTCAGTGATTTGCAGGTCATTCCTTCACTTCGAAGAAGAGGCATTGGCAGGAAGATAGTTCAAAGGATGTTAAGGTTACCATTTTTTCCTTTATATTCTGATTGGCACATAGGAGGGTGATACAGCCTATAAGCAGTGGGTGCATGTTACATATATTGCTTTTTTATCCTGGATCCACTTTTATGTATAGGATGTTTCATACTGGAACATTAACCCTCTCTTCCACACCTAAACAAATAAGGACGATTCTCCTTCCTTCTTCCTCCTAGGCCGCAATAATTGAAGCTTATTGTTTCATTTTGGCGATCCATGTGCTAGTCTTTATAGATATTTGTTGGTTGCACGAGTTCTCTTTTTACCCTGTTAATCGATGTTCATGGAGCTCAATTTGCTTGCAGGATTCTTGTGAACAGAGACATTTATGACATAGCAGCCCTCTGCTCTGATCAAGAGAAGTAAGTTCATTTCTCTTAAGGCAACAAAACTACACTTCATTGGCAGTTTATGTTTGTTTATTTCCTTAAAATTTATTATGCTGAAATAAAAGACTCTGCCTTGGATTCATCCAAGCTATCTCTATGATGGAATAAGAGATATTTGTGTAGGGTCAATTTTTTTAGCATGCTTTATGTTAATTGTTGCATGAATATATGAGCTAGCAATTCTGGCGTACAAAGGGGATATTGTTGTGAAACAGATGCTGAACCTTTACGCTAAAATTATTTAGTCAGAAAGTGAATTAATTTGTTGGATTGAGTTTTCTGAAAAAAGAAGAACAATTTGGTTTGAGTGTTAGTCATGTTAGTATGTTTAATTTAGGACCTATGTTCTTCAAGGGTCTTTCAGTTTTGTCAGAGATTTGTATGCTGGTAGAAAATACAGAGACTTCTTTTACTTTTATTTTGTTTAGTATGGACTGATATGAGTTCAAATGTAGCAACATGGTCAGTAGGATCCGTATAGTCGACCCTAACTTGTTTGGGATTGAGGCATAGTTGTTGTTGTTGGGAAGTGAATTGATTAAAATTCTTTTTCATCTTTGTCCATGTTGGAGCTTTTCATCTGATAAATTATCCTATATGTTCATGTATAGTCAAGAAAATCTTCTCTGCTGTTACTTTGAAAGAGAAACCTCTACACTTGTAACTTTTGGCCATATAATTCCCAGGCCTTTTTTTAGAGCATGTGGATTTGGAGATGATGTACTGGCCTCCACTACAATGATGTATACCAGGTCTGCTTCTGCTGATTCAGAGGATGAGCAGATTGTAAAATATGCAGGTAGAAAGTTATTACTAGCTCCTTCACTAAGAGGAAATCTTAAAACATAATCTCTCTATTTTCATGATCAAGTAATGCCCAATGCAGTCGAAATTTCTTCCTGTAACTTCCATGAGACTACAATTGCGAATGTCGTTATCGTGTTGTATATCAGTGAGTTTCATTTGAACAGCTTCCTTGCCCTCCCTCTTCCTGTGTTATTGTTAGTAATTTATATTTCACAAGCCACATTTATAGATTGTCTTGCCCTATCCAAGAGTGCAAAGTCAAAGTTGGACAGAAGAAAAAGTGGAGAAACTAAAGCTGGAAGGTGGTGCTTACTGCTTATTGTGTAGGGCTGAGTCATTTTAGATCTGTTAATTTTCAGGTGTTGTAATACATGGTGTACAGTAGAATCTCTATTCTTAGGTGGATTATGGACTACTATTGTAATTGCAGTACAGGCTTTTTACGAATAGATAATGCACTTCCTTGTGGACCCTGAATTCATTTTTTTCTCGCAATCTTTTGACTATTATTCTGATTCCTGTCTAGGTGAGATGGAAATTTGAGCCATCATATAGGGAAAAGTTGACAGAGATTAGTCTTAAACTGAAAATAATTTAAAGTGATTTAGCATAAACTGAAAATATTCTTCAGAGAATGCAAATCCAGTTGGAAAACCAAGCTCCTGATGCATGTTACCACTTGAATCAGATCTCTATGATTTAGTCTTCCACGTCGATGTTTACTGTAGATCATGTTTTTGTCAGAGAAAATCTCCTGGGGACTGTGACTTTGATTAGGAAAAAATCTGGTCAAGTGCTTGGAGAATTCTGAGGTTTCGAAGACAATTGAAGAAGTGGGAAGCTTCAATTGTGGGAAAAGAACTTGTGAAAATCTCAGGGATTTGTTCTCTCAATTAGCATTTGAGGAAAGGGTAGAACCAAGTTCATATGCAGGCACAGGTATGCCTTTAAGCAAGCTTTTACCTCAGAATCATCATGAATTTGAGTAGTCTCTTTTTCCATTGATTATTTTTTGTGGTCATTGATCAGCCTTTCCTATGTGCTTACTCCTTGTTGATCAGTATTTCCTATGTGCTTATGCACGTTATATCACGAGTTAATTTTAAACTGAAAAACGCCAAACGTGCGTGCAGCCTTCATAGTCGAGATATAGGCCAGAAACAAGTCGCACATTGTTGTCATGATGAAGTTGCAACAGATCACCAACAAGTGGTGTGGTGGAATAGTAAGTATTCCTTCATCCTTAATCAGAGGTCTCGGGTTCGAGCCTTGAGTATGGAGTTGCCATATACTTTTTAATGATCATCTTGAATTCCTGATGCGTTATCTAACCCACTGCTTTACTTATGGATGACATCACTGCAAACAACAACAATTTAATTGCACACGTCATAAATAAATCAATCTGGAACCAACGTCTATGCAAAAAATTCATTGTCTTAACCGCTGCCTTCCACGTGGCACCAACCCATTTCCTCCTCTGCCCCTCTATATAAGATCCTTCAAATCACAAGTACACAACCTTTGAATACCTCAAAAACCTCTGAACAAAAACATTTCTTTGTTAATTTGATAGCTATGGACTTTTGTCTTCCTAACGCCAAAGCTAAAGTGCACCCTTTTTCTTCACCTAATTCTAATTTTCTTACACCTTTTTTCAAGATTTCTTCAGTTCAGCCATTGGATAATGGGAAATTGCGTAGATTATCAAAGTTGAAGTGTGTAAAAGAAAGCTCAGGTTCAAAGTTGGAGTGGAAAATAGAGGATGAAATGGATATGGAAAAAGAATTGGTTGGAATGAAGAGATTGAAAGAAAAGTGTAAAGGGATAAGTGGAATAGTTGAATTATTGGAGTGTTTAGAAAGAGAAGCAATTATGGGTGAAGATGAAGGGAAAGAACCAACAGATTACAATAGGAGGGCTCAGATATTTGATAAGAATTCTAGAGTTTTCCAAGCTCTTAAAGAAAGAAATATGTCTAGTAGTACTAGTTGCATGTGATTCTTGACTCTTGTCCACATGTGTATACATAGATTGGGAAAAGTTGGGGGTGGGTATAGTAGGATGACAATATTGGATTTGTAATTAGGAAAGAATAAAGGTGGAAAAAAAATGTGAAAAGCCAAGCAACAATGGTTCTATCTATGATTTCTAGTCCATGTATCTTTGAGGTGTTAACATCTACTAAGATAGAAAAGAGTTGATTATGGTGTATGCTACTTTGTATTTAGGTCTATTCTGTTTTATTGAAATGTGTGTGCTTGAATATGGTTTCTGAAAATAGAACAGTTAGTTTACTACCATTACGGGTGGCATCGGTCGATTTGTTTCGGTTGTGAGTGTTATCGATTTGGCATATCGGTTTATAAATATGCTAAAAAACCAATAACCGAACCAATAAAATATCAGTTATCGATTATCGATCGTTATCGGTTCGGTTATCGATTTACCCGATAAGATAACTCAATCTAGATTCTAGAGGGAAGAAGTAATGAAGGATAATGTGTACCGTATAAAGAATATGATAAAACTTTTTTTACTGTTGTAAACCCTCTCAAAGAATATGATAAACCTTACAATATTGTTTCTCTATGTGTTAGAATGACAAATTTGGGAGGGCCACAACAGTAGTAAATAGTAGTAAATAGAGAATTGGGAGAATTGAAAAATTTATATACCTAAGGATAAAATCATATTTTTATAAAGTTTATTGGATTATCGGTTAAACCGTTATAAAATTGGGCAAATTAAGACCCGAGCCGATAATCCAATAATAAAATAACACTAAATCGTTACTGAACCGTTAACCCAATTCCGATACCAATAATCCAATAAGTTTTTTTCGGTTCGGACTATCAATTTTACCCAAACATATGCCCAGCTCTAACTATAATTGTGATAATGGCTGTCGAGCAAAATGGTAAAAGAGGAAAAAGTTTAGGGTGAGAATCCAACAACATTCCTAACAGATTTGCATACTCTATAAATTCCAGACACAGCAGGACAGAATCTGAAAATGAAATTTCTCCTACTGTCAGAAGAATCTGAATGAATTTGGAATAACTTTGCAGGAAAATCAACTGATAATAATCTACTGGAAAGAAAATATCCATAGTTGCCCACAAATGCATCTTCAATTTATAATTATTTCTTTCCAATACAACTGCATTTTCTGTAGAGCAATTTTTTTAGCCTAGAAATGAGGAAAAAAATACAATGTCATAACATCTCGCACAATAAACTATCTCAGCGATCCTGTGCAGGCATAATGAGATTGCCTCCAAGAAGAAAATGAAAAAATGAACTAGGAACTACATCAAGGTTAAGAGAGGGTGCCTATGAAGCTCACAATGTGATACCAGTAAGTGATAAATGGATACTGGCTCAAATTTAACAGAACTTCCAGCGATTTTGGCAGTTCACGCATGTCACGTACGTGGTCATAGGTTCATCTGCACTCCGTGTTTGCATCTGATAGTAGGTGCACTGATTCTTTCTACACCTACCACACTTGAACTTATCGGTACTAGCCTGTGCAGGAAGCCCACGTTCACTATTGAATAACGCTTTCTCTTTAATTTTCTCATTCTGCTTTTGCCTTTCTTCACTTGCCATTTCTTCTGGTGTCAGTTCAGTAATACTACGAGGAGGAATCTGTCCTATAAGGACTTTTCTCCGGAAATCTGGATTGTTTGGATCCTTGATATTGAACATTATAGACCTATACTTGAACTTCTGGGCACCATTAGATCTACCCCACCTCTCAAACATTGCAGTCTCTACTTGAACTGCAACTCTATTCGGATCACATGCATTTACCTCATCCCTCAAATCGTCATCTACTTCGCCTGAGACTTTGCATAAAGCCTCTGCAAGGAGTTCCCGAACTTTGTCCCTCACGGAGTCCTTGCAATAAATTAGAGCGCCCAACTTTGGCGGAGCAACACTTGCCACATTAGAGCTCAATTTCCCATCTTTTGATATCTTCTCAACTTTTATGCTATCAGAAACAGTTCTCTTTTCAGTCTTCACAGCATTAACAGTAAACGAACTTTCTGACTTCACTACATTGTCAGATTTTGAGGTCATCCTCTCAACTTTTACATTATCAACCCTTGACACCTTTTCAACCTTCACCAGATTGGCTATCTGAGATTTAGTGGCTTCATTAGCAGTAGCACCAGGACATTCATCTTTCACGGATTCCCCATTTACTCCATTGCTGTTCTTATTTTTCAAAGTTTCTCTTACGATTATATTTTTCCAGTTCTGAACCACATCAGATGCCAAAGCCTGGATCTTCTCCCTCGGATGTTTTGTCAACTGCCGAAGACGTTTACCCACCTGAAACATGTTTCCTTAAGTCAAATACAGGAAAGGGATCATAGGCTTCTCACTAGCATCAAGTGATAGGCTGTCATAGTAAACAATAAGCATAACATTGTTTGTAAAAATGGTGTTTTGCTGGAAAATTGATTGTAAGAGGTTTGCAAATTATACTTTCAGTGTTTCAAATTTGTTTGTTTGCAAAGCTTTTTTGAATATTTATCTTCCAACTTCAGAGAATGAATTTTAACTTCTTTCAAAAAGAAGCATTTTTGCCAACCAAACACCACTCTGAGACATCTTGCTTTTTTAGCAAAAGAAATAGCAATGGTAACCTTCTAACTTGCACACCCCTTAACTAATCTACCAGTTTCTGCTAACTCCTACCAGGAGAGGTATAGATAACTCTGTCCAAAGACTTAGAAAAATGGGAAGAAACTAGTGTTTTCTGACTTCGCTAGGACTTGAACCCTAATCTCCCGTGGATTGTTCCAACTTTATTGACCACTAGGTGTGTGACATATTCTATATGTATTTATCAGTTCACAAAAAATTTCAAATCACTTCAAATTTTTTCAAAGTTTGATACAACTGCAAGCCTTTTCCAATAAAGAAAAGTTAAATGTACACGACAAGCAGAAGCTTGTTTATCAAAAATCACGCACGCATAATAAAAATTACCTTCTAAATAAATTAAACAATTAAAATCAAAAACGCAAAGAAAAAACGTATTGTTACCTGTGTAGATACGAGGACTTGATAATTGACAGGAAACTTTTTAAGCTGCTTCAAAACGTCAACGCACCTACTCTCCTCCGGCGACGAATCTGCACCGCCGTCGACGGCAGCTGCATCGGCGGCTCGCTTTACCGTCTCAAACAGCTCAATTAGCTCCTTCTCCATACTTTTTTCTCCACTGTACAATCAAATCAAAATTAATTAACAAAAATTACAAATTCCACATGCACATACACAGAAATTCCAAAAAAAGAAGTAACTGTTAAAGAACTGTTAACAAATTCTACGAATGAGAAGACGAAATTAAACCTGCCGCTGTGAAATTTGACGGCCGAATAGAACCCTAGCTTTGATGTGGGAGCTGGAGGAGTTTTTGAGTTTTACGACTTTGTTCTAGGAGAGGGAATAGATAAAAGAGGTTGTTTGCGGCACGTGTGAGTGATCGGACGGCAGTGATGAGGAGAACGATGTATGATCAGACGGTGTAGAATTAATAGGCGTGTTTTGAAATTTGGGGAAAACTCGGAAATTGGGAGAAACAATACGCACGTGACTTCCAGAAAATTTCGACCAATGTGTTTTATATAAGGTGAATGGTCCTTAGGGGTCGTTTGGTAGGGTGTACGAAAGCAGTACGGATTAAGGCCTATTAGTAATGCAAAAATTATTTATTATTTATTATTTGGTGTGATATATTAAAAATCAAAATGCATCCCATGTTTTTAAAGAAAGTTAGTTTTTTACAAAAATACCTTTTATATTCTTTAGTTTTAAGGGATTTTAAGTATAATTTTTCTTTAATCATGCTAATGTATGCATTAATAGTTTTTGTATTGCTAATACCATGGTTTGTTATGTACTCCTTCCGTTCACTTTTACTTATCCACGATTGACTTTGCACACCCCTTAAGAAATAATAAATATAGTGTATAATTTACCATGATAGTCATATTAATTAGTGTATTGTCTTAATGGATTTGGAAAATAATTTGGAATAAGTAATTAATGCTAAGGGCAAAACAGGAAAAATAAATTATTTTTTTCTTGATATGTGAAAGTGGACAAGTAAAAGTAAAAATCTATTTTTGGAATAGTGGACGGAGGGAGTATTAGTTATACATAGAAAAATATCAAATAGGTTGTATAACTAATACTTGCATTAGTAATATATTATACATGTGTTGAAAAAGTGTACAAAATAATGGATTAATAATATCAAAAGTTAATGCATGTATTGTTTTCTCTAATGCATTCTACCAAAAGACCCGATAAGGTGAAAAAGTGACTATTTCCTTCTTTTTTTAAGGGATAGTTTCAAGTAAAATTACAATCTTGTCCTTAATTCATAATCGGTTATTTAATACTTCCTCCGGTTCACTTTAATTAATTTTTTGGCCTTTTTTTATGGTTCATAATATTTTATTTTTTCAAATACCAAGAAGGAATTAACTTATTTTTTTCAAAGTTGTCCTTGGAGTAGAGAGCATAGGAGTATTTATTATATTTTCAATGAATAAATTAAGGTTAATCTAGTCAATTTTATTGTTAATTAATGCTAAAAATTAAATTTCTTAATACTGTAAAAACAAATAAAATTTGATTAAAGTGGACAGGAGGAACTAAAAAATATGCAACACCCAGCCATCTACAATTGTAAAAATTGGTTTATTATGGGGGTGGGTTGTATTTTACATTATGTTTAAAATAATTATTTTTATTCTTTTGTTTATAAGTCAATCTCCAGAAAGGAGTTGGGGTACATCATTGTCATTTTATTAATCTTTGACAAAAAAAGTGCACCGGGTAAACCCTTTTCCAAATGAAACAAAACAAAAGATGCAAGATAAAAACCTTTAATTTAGAAAAATACCAACTTCCAAGAATATTTAAGTTTTATTGTTCACAATATTTATTAGAAGAAGTAAGATTAACTCTATCAAAATTAAGAAAAAAGTAGATTTGCAACCAAAAAAAAAAAAAAAAAAAAAAAAACTATCCCATAGCCCATAGGCATAGTGTATGTCACAATATACAAAGTCCTATTCTTCAAATTCCACAAAAAGTTCAGTGGTCTACTCCAAGCTATTTGTCTGCGCAATTTGGTCACAAATGAAAAAGAGACGTTCTTCGGGCGACCTCTAGTTAAAAACTTAAAATTTACCACAGCTGTCTCTTTCACTATAGGTACTGTAGTAATATTTACTCCATCCGTTTCAATTTATGTGCATCTGTTTAACTGGGCATATAATTTAACAAAAAAGGAATATTTTTTGAAATTTATGGTCCTAAACAAGTAAAAAAAGGAGTTCATAGTATCTGTGTAGTTATAAAAGCCTCTCATTAAGAGTAAAATTTGAAGTTTAAGCTAAATTATTTCCAAATTTAGAAATGAGTCTTTCTTTTTGGAACGAACCTAAAAGGAAATAGGTTCACATAAACTGGAACGGAGGGACTAGTACTTAGTAGTATTTTTTTTTTAGCTTACACTTATCTCGACTAATTTACTTAACCATTTGGGTTATGAGCAGGGGTGTACAAATCGAATCGAAAAACCGCACCAAACCAAAAAGTCAAACCAAACCGATTAAAAACCCGACTTGGTTTGGTATTGAATAAAAAACCTCGAACCAACCCGATATATAANGAGATCTATTAAATTCTTATATCTTTTTCGAATGTGAAATGATTATTAATATTTAGGTATCATATTGATTTTTATGTTTAATTACTGAATCCGGTTAACCTGAAAGTGTATATCAACGAAAAATTATTGTCAGACGACTAGAAAAATAATTATTATGTTACTAATAGAATTCTCCCATAAGAATATTTTAATCGATAATATGTTTGTCAGTTTTTTATATTTTTACTAAATAGATGTATACTTATCAAATATTTAACAAAGTAATATTGAAATAATATGTAATTAACAAAAAATCCGATAAAAACGACAAAATCAAACCAATCCAAAGTTTTGATAAAAACCGAACCAATCCGGCCCATATATACCCCTAGTTACTATGTATCAAATAATTTTGCTCACTAAGATTGGAAATACATGCTTACACTAAGGTAGTAAATGAAATTCAAATATCTTCCAACTTAGAAGCTCAAAATTGTTACTCTTATTGTTTAACCACTAGATCATCCAAATTATGTTGTTGGTGAATAATTACAGTTGAAAAATTAAAAAGAAAAAAATAATATATCTTCAGGTTGAGACGCCGATATCTCGCTCTCTTTAAGGAGATTCAAGCACACTGCAATAAAAGCTTCACTAATCCAGCAGTAGTCTTTTTTAGCACGCCGTATGGCTTAAATAAATTATGGATAAGTTGTTGAGTCCAAAGTTTCACCACTTGAAATACCTTCCTTCAATAAAGTAAAACTATTTCTTTTTATTTTAACTTTCATGCACTCTACAGTATTTTTTCACACGCTACATTATTTGAAAAAAAAAAACTCCTATTTATAGGTGCAAGAATTTTTACTTGGATAAAATTGAAAGAAAGTTGGGTAATAAGTTATGAGATCATAGTAAATATGAAGAAATTGGTGTGTAATTAATGGTAGAATATTATAGAGTGGTTACAAAAGAGTTATGATCGTTTTATACATCATGGAGTTGTGGGTTAAAAGGGAGTTATGGCCATTTCTCAAGATCATGAGCTAATGAAAATTAGTAATTTTCCGAGGCATAATATAATTTTAATATTAAAATATCACATAAAACTACACCAACATATGTCAACTAAAATAAAAACAATATTGTTAGCCTTCATGCTTATTTATTAACGGAATTTTTACCTCCTATAGCAAAAATTATATTTTATAGATACCTTTTAAGGTTTATGGCAAAATATTTAATTTTGGTTACCTCCTACCCCTAAGTTACTAAATACGCTAATCAGTTACACTATTTTCTTTCTCTCTCTACTTTAATACATCCCATTCTCTTCCCCCATCCCATTAAAATTTCCGACCTCCTCCTCCTTCCACCGGATTTGTGCAAAGCCCACTTCAGCAATTGCTCCGGCTCCCGCATCTGACGACTGCAACGGCATATTCCTACAACTAGACAAGAGGAGTTGCTCTGATGGTAAGCAACCTCCACTTCCAACCAAGAGGTTGTGAGTTCGAGTCTCCCCAAGAGCAAGGTGAGAAGTTCTTGGAGGGAAGGATGCCGGGGGTCTATTTGGAAACAGCCTCTCTACCTCAGGGTAAGGGTAAGGTCTGCGTACACACTATCCTCCCCAGACCCCACTAAGTGGGATTATACTGGGTTGTTGTTGTTGTAGAAAACCCAGGGGATCGATGTTTTTAGTATTGTTAGAATTAAGAGAAACTTAATAAGTGTTTAAGGTTAAAACGTTGGCACATGAAGATCTGCTAGTGATGAGAAAAGATACGTGCGATCAAGTACATACGCTTACTTCCTTTTCGTAAATTATCCCTCAATAACATTTTGATGAACTAACTTGACTCCTACTGAGTTCAAGAAAATTTCTGTTATGATGTAGAGAGGCCTCGTAAATACCGTCTTTGTCATTTGAAAAAATTTCACTGCTATATAAGCTGGCTCCACTAGTCTCGTGAATACCGTCCCTGCCAATTGAAAAAATTAAGATATGGATGTTGTAGGATGATTTTCTGTTAATATATGTCAATGTATTTTATATGTTAATGTATTTTCATGTATTTCATTATATTCATTGTCTTTTTTTTCCATTGTAATTCAATGTATCTCGTTGTATTTCATGTATTTTATTGTATTCACTGTCTTTTTTCGCATTGTATTTCAATGTATTTCGCTGTATTCTATGTATTTCATTGTATTCACTGTCTCGCTATATGTCATTAATGTATTCATAAGTTTTTTTTAATTAATATAATTTATATATTCAGATGTATTATATAATTTCTCTGAAGATTGCTATGTTTCTGGGGTATTTTTCGGTTGAGAATCTTTTTTATAACTGAAAATACAAAATTTGTGTGTTATAATTGAGTTTGTTGAGTTATATTAGGATTCTATTATGTTAATTGATTCACTTTCCCTTTTAAAAACAGTGTAATCCCCTATTTCACACCGTGAATACAGTCGAATACAATAATCTGTCCAGCTGTAATCCCATGTTTCACTCCATGAATACAGTCGAATACACTCGAATACAACAACTGATTAGCTGGACTTCCCTGATTCACGCCTATTTTTGCTACTTTATTCATAAATACAATAACTTAAATACATCAAATACATCTTATAACCACATAAAAGGTATCTATAATCCGTAATATAACAAATGGTATCTATAGATGGCTAATTACTACTAAAAGATAGTGCTTTGTGAAATTTCCCAGCAAAGGTTAACACCTTATTTATTTTAAATAAATACCACAACCATAGGCCTTTCTCACAGGCGGCCTAATGCCTAAAACCAAACTTTATGAAGGGTTTTAACTTTTTTATTTATTTTTTTAAAATTTAAACACTATTTTTCTAGTTTTTTTTAGATGCAAAGTTATTAATAGTTTTCCCGTAATCAATTTCTCCTTATAAATTTTTCTCAATTAACAATATAGCCAATCCATTTGACCTCTCCTGAGACATTATTGATCTTAGTTAAGATTTTATCAATTTTAATTTTAAAAATTTCTTTCCGTTATAGCAACGATAGCAGGAATTATTAACATTATTCTATAAGCTACAGGCATTTGGAGAAGAATCAAATCTTTTTATTTGATTGAGTATATCAATTAAACTTTATATTCTAATTTTACTATTTTTCTTAGTATTTTTAATCTAGAAAATAAATCTAAACCATCAATATCAGATTATTATACTTTAAGGAACATTCAAGATTAATTAAGGCAATATTTTTCAAATTTTTATCATTTAGCGATCTCAATTTTTTACCGCTAAATAGAAAACCAAAAATATTTTTATATGCTTCGAATTGTTCAAATCTATTTTGAAGTAAAAAAATAGTTTTATCTATTATGTATAAAAAATAATCAACTCTAAGGGACTCTTCAAGAATTTTGAGATTTCATTATAAACATTCTTATCAAATTATTTCTTCCGATATATCACACGTTTCAATATTCAAATGCAATTTCATTGGCAGAAATCATAGCAGTTACAAATCCTTCTTCTCTATATATATTAAAGAAAGAATTGAACATTTTCACCTCACAGAACTTGCTTTACTTGCTTTAGGGAAGGGTTACCCCTGAGTATAAGGTAACTAGCTTAATGCTCAGTCAAATGCTGAACATAGTTTCTAAATAAAATATTTTCATGAAAAATATTTTACATTATTTAAACACACTGTAAAGAGGAGGCGATGCTGAGATGGTCAAGGCATATGAAGAAGAGAAGCACAGGGGGCCCATAGGAGGTGTGAAAGGTTGGTTTTGATAGGTATGAGAAGAGGTAGAAGTAGGCCAAAGAAGTATTGGGGAAAGGTGATTAAGCACGACATGGCACAACTGGAACTTACCAATGACATGACCCTTGATAGGAAGGTATGGAGGTCGAGAACTAGAGTTATATATTAGTAGGTAGTAAAGCATTGTACTTTTTCCTCCCGATACCGATAGTTTTAGTTTTAGTATGGTATCTTTTTATTCTTAGATTGCTATCACTTCCTACTCTTTGATTCACTTTGATTTTCTTAATATCTTGCTATTGTTATTGCTTGTTGTTATTGTTCTGTTCATCTTCTCTTAGCTAAGGATCTAACTGAAATAATCTCTTTGCCCTCCAAGGTAAGGGTAAAGTCTGCGTACAACGTACCTCCATACTCCACCCGCAGGAATCCACGGGGTTTGTTGTTGTGTTAAATACCCCGTTAAACTAGTTCTTAATAGGCACATTACTTTGTAATTGATTAAAACCTCTTCTGCTGGTAAGTCTTCAACACCGACACATCTTAGATTCCGACGGCTAAAGCTTAAAAAAGGCCAAGAATGTTGAAACAACTGACGGACACCTATTTTGTCATGAAATTTAAATGAAATTTTTTAATTGCAGGACAAATTATGATATTTTTGTCCTAAAAAATTGAACCAAAAAACTATAATTCAGGACGCATAGTCTAATTCCTAATCATTTCTACGTTAATCAGGCAGCACAAACTGTATCTCAGAAAGCCCGTTCAACTATTGTCTGCATTGACCAAATCATTGATGCAATGTTCTTCAATCTTCATGGTTCAAGTCCATAGTACACAACATCAAGCATCACTGTTACTAACAATGAAAATGTGAACATGTGTGATGTATGAAGAGAGACCATCAGCTAACTTAAACTTCCATGATTACACTAACAAGAACCACGAGAAATGAGATACATTATTAAACTTAATCCTGCTCAACCACCTTCTTCAGCATTTTTGTTCACTTCTCTTCTTCTGGTTTCTCAATGAATGTCTTCCTCAACCAGTCCCATGGCTGCTTAAATATGAAAATAACGTAACACGGTCAGAGGTGTTATTAGATACATATATGCCATCGTAAAATCAAGCTTACATATCCAAACAATACATTAACAAGAACTGAGTTGCACAACCTAAAGGAAGTCCAGAAGTGCATAGAAATAAAATAACACCAAAAGACTAAATTAGCACTTGCTTTGCTCTCTACTCTCTAATTAAAGCTTATACATGAGATATCCAATTAAAGGACATCAAAACATTTAAATGAAAAAGTTACTTCAACAAATTCCATAGAATTCATCAAAAGTTTTGGAACCTTCCTTCTTATTACTGATTTCCGAACCTCTAATCTAATATCTTAAAACAGCCACATTCATCAGTATATATTGCACATAAGATAATCTGAAAATGCAACTTTAAGTTTATAATACGTTCATAGTTAAAAAAAATGAAACTAATGTCATCACAAAAGTCAGAAGGAAAACAGATGGACAGGAAAACAAATGGACAACAAACCTGCAACACAAAACAAAGTGACAAACAAAATGAATCCCCCCATTTTCTTAAACTAGTAGGTTGCGTGCAATTATGACTATTTTTGGCCAATGTCACTAAGTTGACACTTGGCTGATGTTGAGTGAGAGAGATTAGAAATTAGCAAAAGCAGGGAAAATGGGAAAAAAAGAGTTACAGATTTTTCAGTGCAAAAAAGCTCTGGATAAAATTCTTCTCACCTATTTCCATGTTTAGCGCACCTCCGTATTAAGTCCTTATCCATCCCTATAGTCTTAATTTAGAGGCAAGGAGATCGATAATTGAAACTCCCACAGGAAAGACCTAAAATACAGTCATTCCCATAGCTGTGTCCTACTTGCTGTTCCACACCCGCCCTAACAAGCTCCCACCCCTTCTCTAAGCCTCCCCAGAAAAGACCCTTCTACTAGGCCATAGATAAATAATCAGAAGAAAATTGATCTCTAGCACCATCCGTATGCCGCTTTTACTACCTTACTTTGCCATTTCGACTGTCCTCGTTGTGCCATTGGTGATGATTTAGTTTGCTCAAAAGAAAAAAAGTTGAATCAATGAAATTTACAACAATATGTGTGTGTGTGTTTGATAAACTAGTGTCAACGCCTCAAAGGTATACTTGAGAACAAAGTTGACCCTCTTTTTTGGATAACAATGGGGTACAGACAAGTTTTGGCGCACTTCAATTGATCCTCCAAGTATTTGCTAGCCTATTACCTTCCACAAGTAGAGGTACCAAATAACTCTACCCACCAAGACATAGGCAGATGAGAAGAATTCACCTAATGTAACCTATGATCAAATTAAATTCTTGATTCCTAAAGTTGTCACACAAGATTTTGGACTGCTAAGCTATCCTGCTCACCAAATGTTACATTGCATAAATGGTCGGATACCACATCACAACATTTATCAGAACAATAATTGCACATTTTGGATAACTGAACCAATCCAGCCTACCTAATCATTAAAAAAAATCGGGAAGGATTCAAATCCCAACATTTTCCTGTCAAACATACCAACTTTCCCTATATGGTATTAACTCTTAAGAGCATATGTTTGACGGTTTCAGTTACTTTCGGAAGTTAAACGACAAGGACAACGCAAGGACTTATAATATTTGGAGAGGAGGTTAGTATAACTTTTAAAACACGAGAAAGAAACTGCAATAACTTTTAGAAACGTAGATATAAGATCAGTGCAATAAACTCAATCCATAAACAACTACAAATGCCAGAATTCAAACTTTTATGAGTAACACATGTTCAAGAAATAGAACCCCGTGTTCACGTCCTTGAGGACCATAACTACTAATGCATAGGGGGCTCTAACAGACAGGAGCGGAGGTAGAGTGCGGGATACGGGTTCGGCCGAACCCAGTAACTTTTGTTCAAACCATGTATTTGTCTTAAGAAATTCATTGAATATGTACAACTTGTTAATTTAGAACCCAATAACTTAATGAGATTACAATTCCGAACCCATAAGGTTTAAATCCTGACTCCGCCTCTGCTAACGGACCATGCCTAAACCAGATCTAGAATCCGAAGAAAGAAATCAATTGATCAAGTTGTGGAAATAAAATAGCAAGAGTGTAAAGGGGCTAAAAATTTATCATAGAAGAAAAGGATGTTGAAGCAATGTTGAAATAATGGAGTACTAGATTAGCAAATTCGTAAGTATTGTATCTCGAATTGCAATGTTTGTAATCTCTAACACTAATCCAGTTTTCAATTCAAGCGGATAGTGATCCAACAATGATTCCTAATTACTATTAGGATCACAAACCATGACAACAAAAAATAGCAGTCAAGGGCGGCTCCGTAAAATTGGTGGCCTAAAGCCAAACTTTAATAAGAGGCCTTATACTTTTTTATTAGTACGTATACACACATATATGCAAAAAAAATAATCTTGCCATTTTTTTCATACTTGTTGTTTATAGCATATATTCTTAAATGACATAGTCTTTAACTTCACATAGTAATATAATTATTTATATTAGAAAAGGAAAATTTAAATAAATGAGATATTAGACATGTATTTGCAATATATTACCTTTAATATTGTTGTAGACAATATATTTACTAATATGAAGATTTAAGTAGTTTAATTCAAAGTTTTAAAAATATTTTTACTGTTTAAGAGTAGATACCTTTCTTTCTTTTTTACAATTTTTTTCGTACTTTATTATTTTTTCTACAAACATTAATATTGTCTAATTTGAAATAAAGTTATAAAATTCAATATTAAAAATTTTGGGAACCTAAATCAAGGCTATACTAGTCTCGTACTAGAGCCACATATCCGCCCCTGACATTCTCAATAAAATTTATAGAGTCTCACTTAAAATAAGACAGCAATGACAAGAGCATTAAAGATAACGAGTTTGTCATTCAGTTACCAAATGTGAATGAAGCTGGTTGAACAGTACGTTTATAGTGGGGCAGTAGTCTGTAAATAATTGTTGATTGTCAATGAGGGGCGGCTCAACAAAACTGGTGCCTAAACCAAAATATATTAAAAAGACCCTGAAACGTCTTTTATAAAATTCATATAATACTGAGACACACAAAAAAACTACATGACTTTGATATAGTGGTGGGACCACAACTCATGATGTATGAGTTAGGCGCGCGTCATATGGTATTGAATTTTTCCCTTAAGTGAAAATGGTAAAGGGCGAGCCCATTATTCATCATGTTTTGAACCTTGCGACATTTTCCTCGAGGATTTCTTAGTTAAAAAAGATGAGACACAAAAGAACTTGCTTTCTGGCATGTGGTTCAATCAAATGTGACCAAAAGATATAGTAAATTTAGGGAATTGGAGTTGAAATTAGAACGTAAAATCGTAAGAACCATGAAAAAAGACTATACATAAAGAAAGAAAAATAAAATTGATGAGAAGGTAAATATATTATTTAATTTAGTGAGAATTTTTTTTTCCAATCAACTCACTCGATCTTACGTCTACCAAATATTAAAAATTATTAAATTTTGAAATCTTTTATTAATAATTATATAAATATAAATTATGGAGTATGTATTATATAATAATATAATAGTACTTTTTATTTTTGGGGCCTTACTTATTTGGGGGCTTAAAGCAAGGGCTTCACTTGCCTTGCCTTGCCCTAGAGCCGCCCTTGATAGCAGTATAAGATGCTTGACAGGAGATGCTCCGCTTCCATAATCATAATATCAGGCCCGGATATCGAGCTGAGCTCAGGCTCTCTGCTCAAACGAAGCTTTTAAGTCGCAATCAAAGGTTCAGTTAAATCTTTATGATAACTGAATAAGCTCCTATTATCTAAATTAAAAATTCGAATTTGAATAGTTTCTTAAAAAGAAAAAAAGTTGCTATTTTATCAAAATTACAGTAGATGCAGTGGTATTCTTTATCCACTGACTTAAAAATCCTTGACCCACCTAGTTGCTTATAGGATCTAAGGAGAATTACCCGATTGACTTATTATGTGATCGACTATCTGAGTGTTAAAAGTTCTAAATGGCATGGAATTAGATAACGAAAAAACAAGGAAAACATAAAATCAAAATTGAAGTACATACAAATAAATCGGATTCCAAAATTCTTGAGAAAAAGTGAAAAAGGAAAGGACCTGGACGATCCAGAGAGCGGTGGTAGTGGCGGCGACACCCCAAGTAGCGGCGGCCTGTATATCGGTGGACTGAGGACGCAATTTGGGCCGCAGGAACTTGAAGAGTCCGGTACTGGTCATCTTCGGCGTTGTTAATTTCTCCGTTCACTGTAACTGAAACTGATACGATGAGCCCTCGAAATAAGCTAACCGGGTCTTCTCTAACTTCCAAATGACATATATATAGAACATTTATTTTTTCTTAAAATAAATAAAAATAAGATGGGTTTCTTACAACTTGTTTGGATGGTTGTTAACTGTTGTATCGTATCGTATTATTACTTTAAATATAATGTTTGTTTTGATTGTTACTTAAATTTTATTGTATCGTATCGTTAAATCCGTGGTTACGTAATGATGAAATATGTCACTTTATGTAACGACCGATTTGGTGTGGTCACGTCGTTTTTTTGGGGTTTTCTCTCAATCTCACCCTTCATTAGTATTAAATAATTTTATTTTATCATTTATCCTACCTTTTTATATACCATATAATCATTTTTCTTTATAATATTGCAAGTTTATTCATCATATTACTGATGCGTGATACTATGAAACGACGATAAAATGACACAATCCATCCAAACATTGTATTCATCAAACGATATAGTACAATACAATACGATACGATACATTATGAAACGATACGTAACAACCATCCAAACAAGCTGTTAGGCCCCGTTTGTCCATAATTTATTTATTTTTCAAAATTGTTTTTTAAAATGTGTTTGTCCATAAAATTTTATAATTTTTTGGAAATTTTTCAAAAATGAGTTTTTCAAAAACCAAAAGTAATTTTGACCATTTTTTCAAAATTTTTAGATTTTTTTCTCCACTCACAAAGTTGCAACATTTTTTCAAGTGAAATGCATGTCCAAACATAGTGGGCGTTTGGACATAAGAAATGTAAATTCCAAAAATAAGTGAAACTTTTTTTCAAGTGAAAGTGGTGTTTGAAAATTAGAGTTGTGTTTAGACATGAATATAATTTTAGATTATTTTTGAAGTTTTGTGAGTGATCTGAATGAAAATTTTGAAAAATAGCTTTTGGAGTTTTTCAACTTTTCAAAAAATTTCAAATTCATCTTCAAATAAAAATTGAAAATTTTATGGCCAAATACTGATTTTGAAAAAAGTGAAATTCTTTTGAAAAAAGTAATTTTTTTTTTTATGTCCAAACGGGCTCATAATTTCAAATTCCAAATACGATTTTCAACTTAACTTCAAATATTACTTTTTTCAAAAATTACAATTTCTATGTCCAAACGTCTACTTAGACTTCTAATAGTGATGAAATTACGCTAGATGGGGGCTCCTTGCAATTGCCCAAATTTTCCTTAACCGATTGGTATAGTAATCGTTACGATTTTAAGCGATAGTGCTGAAAAATCCTAGCGATTAGTCCCATTTTGTGGTAAATTTTGATAATTATCATATAATTTTTTTAATGGTTGCTAGTTTTTGTGGCAAACCCTAGTGATCATCATATGAAAAATTTCAGTGATTGCCAGAAGTGCTTAAAATTCTAGCCAAAGGTTATTTTTCTAATACTTTTTCTAAGGTCAAAATTTAAATAGCAGCACCGAATGATTCTATTTGTGCAAATCGCCCCTCAAGAATCACTTTTAATTTTGTCTTCAACTGATTAAACACAGTAAGTTATCTTAAGAAAATATATTCGTATATATAAACACACGTGTTACAATTGTTCACATCCTAAGTATTAAAATGACCCGAACCTAAAATATCTTTAAATTGTCGGCAGAAATAAGGTAAATTCATTTGCAATAGCTAACAGTATATTGAAAATGTAATGACCTTTTTCTTTTACCTTTTTCCCGTCCTCTGTTTTAAAAGGCAGAATTGAAACTCGTAAAACGCCCCTGGGCTTATGTGTGAGGTTTAGTTCCATGAAATTTATGCCTCCGCTATTGCGACTTACGCCTCGAACACGCCCAACGCTCATCGTACTGGGCTCGCTTAATAGAACATTATGCAATTGTATGTAACTAACCTTGTAAATCCTCAAATTTTCTTAATAAATCGTTCACTATTCAAAATTACTTTTTTCTTAATCATAAATCATTAAATTGAGAATATTTTATGTCATAATTAAAATAAAAATTATTGTACGTTATCCACTAAGACTGCTATATAGTTAATTTTAAATAAATCTTTCATTTAAAAAGTATTTATTTATTAACTTTTGTTATGTCTTTACTGTATAATAGTCCATAATTTTTTTATAATTATTTTTTTAAATATTTTTTTCACGTTTACGAGATACAATACTTATTAATTTAATAGCTCAGTTTTAGCTAGTAACTATTTACAAATAATTAGTTATCATGGTATTATATGGTGAATTATGTGTCACTTTATTAACTTGTTGAAACTTAAAAATAAATGACGCTAGAGAATCATATTGAAATTGTGAATTATGTTTTTATATTAATTCTCTTTCAAATAGAAAGCATATTAAATAAAAGGAGTATTTAAGAAAAATATCAAATTATAATATCGAAATTCTTTCAAGATTCATTACTCCTTAAGAGATACATATAAGATTTCGTATCGAATACATAACTTTTGATGTTTGAGTTGTAATGACGTTGTAGCTAATTTGCATATTATGATATATGTTATACTTTTTATATTATTTATAGTTGAATTATGCTTTATAAATTTTTTAAATATATTATTTGTTATAATTTTGTGATTTTAATGTAATTTTTATAATTATTTTTTATTTTATACTATTTTAAAATTCTTGTAAAATTTAAAGATCCGTGCGACTTATGCCCATGTTTCAGGGCTTACACCTCGCCTCGTTAGAGTTAAAACGTCTCGCCTCACGCCTCGCCTTTTAAAATATTGGACTCCAGTCCTATCCTTTTTGTTATATTGACTAATGTTCCCCCATAAAGTATCAACTACTATAGAGAAAGTTACTCAAAAATTCTTGTATCATGATTGTCACACCTCCTTTTTCCGTCCCCGCGAGGGGTGAAGGAGTTTTTTCCAATTAAAGGATAATCGAAACGGGATTTGTTTGTTTATTTCATAGTCGCCACTTGGGAGATTTAGGGTGTCCCAAGTCACCAATTTAATCCTGAATCGAGGAAAAGAATGACTCTGTATTACAGTCCGCAAACCAGAAATCCGGATAAGGAATTCTGTTAACCCGGGAGAAGGTGTTAGGCATTCCCGAGTTCCGTGGTTCTAGCACGGTCGCTCAACTGTCATATTAGGCTTGTTTATCTGATTTTATATAATTATGAGCTCATATGCAAATTTTAACTCTTTACCGCTTTTATTATATTTTTAAAGGAATGTGAACATCGTTTAAAGAACATGTCTTTGGATTGCGTCACATGAAATGCACCCGCAATCCGGAACATATTTTATTCAATGTTTTGGGATTTAGATTTGGGTCACATGAAATGCACACCCGAGTTTAAGAAGGTAAGATTATTAAAATGCGCCTAAAGAGTCTAATGCGTTATTATCTTTGGGGAAGGTAGTGAAATTCATTAAACAGTCCATCCCGAATTCTAAATATTCAATTAAACGTTTAATGAGGGCCCCACAATTAGTGCGTTTTATTGGGCGAGGCTAATCTCATTTTATTTTTAAAGGACAGTCATAAAATGCCTACATTTTTCTCTATTAAATTTGTCTCTACAAAATAAAAGAGAAAATGTCTTAATTTATTTACATGCTTGAGTTGTTATAGATGAGTTTCGAATATGATTCATAAAATCTGAAAATGATGCAAACAGGACAGTCCGTTGCCAATGCGGGCCCAGACCCAACGTGTATGGCATAAAACTAGACCTGGGCCATCTTATTCACATGTTACTACCTAGTTACATTATACTAGGCATGTTCTCAGTTTGTCAAATTAAAAAAAAAAAACTTAGCAATCTAATTTTAATCATAGACCATTTACATGTTGAAATTAACCAATATTTTTTAACTAAACAATATTCCTACCAAGTTCCGAAATGGTCTATTCGTTTGATTTTTAACTAGACGGAGTTACTACACTATTTATTTATTTTTAGGCAATATATAGATAGTTCATATGTTAAGCTATCGTCACATGTTCCACTATATATATTAAACAGCTACATGATTCTGATTTTTGTAAGCTAAATAATTTATATATACAAATAAAATTCAGAATATAATTAAAATAAATTTAGAACTTCAACTCTTCATTTTCGTATTCATGCTTCATATTTCAGTTTACAGTAACCAGTGTGTCAGTTGTGTACCTGATATTGGAAGCAAAAGAAAAAGGGAGATCAACAGAAATTCAGTAGCATACAACAACAGCAACCCCAGCAACCAGCAATGAGAAACCAGTGAAAGATTTTAAAACTCAAGATAAAAATCCAGAAACACCAACAACAATCAACGGACAGAAGCCAAG